CAATCAGTGGAACGCGACCCGTCACCAACCGAACTAGACCACCGCCCTGTTGCCGACTAGCGACCATTCAGTCCCCGTCGCTCATCCTCGCCACGTCTCTACCGTTCTCCGTCCCCTGTGCGTCGCCGACTCAACCCCGTAGAGACGCAAAACTCACTGCCGCAGCTCCGGAGGCACGAGCTGCGAAATTATCGCATTATACAAGTACTCGCCCGTCCCCCACAAACGTTCTGGAAGCGTTTGTTGAAGGTCTACGAACTCTTGCGCTTGTTGATACGGGTGCCGCCGTATCTGTGATGAGTCAGAAACTCTGCCTTTCGATAAGAGAAGTAACGACGTCGCCTTCCGACGTTTTGCTGAATACCACGAGTGCGCAACCAATTCGACCAGTTGGAGCATGTACGGCGAGAGTAAACCTTCAGGACGTCCTGTACAAAATCGAGTTTCTCGTGTTGACTACTTGTTCCTACTACGTGATACTTGGATGGGATTTTTTGTCGCGCCACCACGCCGTAATCGACTGCGCTCGCGCGCAGGTGGAATTTTCTGTATTTTCAGATGCGCCATCTATTGACAATGAACGCACTCACCTTGGCAAGCTTCTTGTTGCTTCCGAGATGATGTTCCTTCTCTTAGTGCCATCGTTGTCCCCGTCAGTCACACAGAATTGTCCGGCTCTACCGTTGTGTTCTCCCCATCTGAGGTTTTCAGTCGCTGCCACGGTACGTCTCTGCCGTACGCCGTTTTGCCACCTCACCAAGATACTTCCGGAATTGTCATTTGCAATCCTAGCTCATGCTCTCTCACCTTAAAAGCTCTCGAAACACTGGGCTATGTTCATCCTGTTGATGACAACGTTATTGTGCCTGTTAAGTCCCACGACCCTGGCCAGCAACTTCAACTGAACGCTGTTGCACCTCTTTTTACGCGGGATGAATACTGCTCAGATATCTTCAATCGTTCCATCGACAGCAAGCTTCCTCCGGATCAACGGGACCATCTAATAATCCTTCTGCATGAATTCCGAGATTCATTTGACCTTCCTCAAAAGGCAGTGAGTCAAACTAACACCGTCGCTCACACAATCTACACTTGCACCCTCCTTTGCGGCAACGCCCCTACCGCATGTCACCCAAGGAACGAAGTCTGACTGCAGAGCAGGTGGATGATATGCTTCAGCGTGGTGTCATCGAACCAGCTTCTAGCCCGTGGTCTTCGCCTGTTGTGCTAGTAAAGAAAAAAACATGGTTCGATTGGATGTTGTGTCGACTACCGGCGACTGAACAAAATTACCCGGAAAGATGTATACCTTCTTCCCCGCATCGACGACGCTATCGATTGCCTACAAGGTGCTGAATTATTTTCTTCACTGGACTTACGTTCGGGTTACTGGCAGGTTCCGATGACAGAGTGTGACCGTTCCAAAACACCGTTCGTTACGCCGGATGGCCTATACGAATTCATGGTTATGCTATTCGGTCTGTGCAATACACCTGCAAATTTTGAACGAATGAAGGACAGCATTTTACGCGGCCTTAAATGGCATATTTGCTTATGTTACCTTGAAGATGTCGTATTCTCTCCTGATTTCCCTACCTATGTCGACCATCTGCGCACCGTTCTTCAGTGTCTTATTAAGGCAAAGCTCCAGCTTAACCTAAAGAAGTGCCGCTTTGGGGCTCGCCAACTTACTATACTTGGCGACGTTGTATCAAAGGATATAATTCGCCCCAACCCCGACAAACATTGAGCCGTAGCCGACTTTCCGAAGCCGACTTCACTCAAAGAACTTGGGAGCTACATCGGCTTGTGCTCATATTTTCGCCATTTCGTCCACACCTATGCATCAATAATAGCCCCACTTACACAACTACTCAACGGTCCAGCTAATATTTCTAACTGGACCCTGGCGTGTGACCAAGCTTTCCCTACACTGCGCCGCCTGCTTACGTCCCCGCCCATTCTACGCCATTACGACCCAAGTGCCCCCACAGAAGTGCACACAGATGCCAGTGGCGTTGGTCAGGGAGCAGTACTCACGACACGAAAGCCCTGTATTCCAGAGTACGTCGTCACATACGCAAGCCGCGCACTCACGAAAGCGGAGATGAACTATTCAGTAACTGAAAAAGAATGCCTCGCAATCGTTTGGGCGTTAAGCAAGTTTCGTCCTTACTTGTACGGACAGAGTTTTGACGTTGTGACCGATCACCACGCACTTTGTTGGTTGGCGTCGCTAAAAGATCCTTCAGGTCACCTTGAACGCTGGGCTCTTCCCCTACAAGAATTCGACATTCGTGTCGTCTACCGCTCAGGATGAAACCACTCTGACGCGGACGCCCTCTCACGATCACCAGTGAGATCCAGCGCAGACCTGCATTCGGACGCCAACTTCTCCATCACTTCCATTTCCGTCTCAAGCATGTCGTCTGAACAGCAGAAAGACCCATGGATAACATCTTTCCTTAACATTCTTTTCGACTCTTCAACGTCTGCGTACCCACGCGCTCTTCGCCCCCAAGCCCCATATTTCGCGATACGGGACGCGCAACTATACCGCAGAAACTACCACACGGATGGTCGTAAATGGCTCTTGGTTATACCACCCCACATGCGATCTGATGTCTGTGCGTATTTTCATGCCGACCCAAAATATGCTCACGCTGGTGTGTTAAAAACATATCACCGGATCCACCAGCGTTACTACTGGCATGGTATGTACACTTTCGTACAAAAATACACTCGGTTCTGTTCATTATGCCAACGACGAAAGACAGCGGTCCGTTTCTCCGGATTAATACAACTTCTACCGTGTCCAGCGTGTTCTCTCGACCGCGTTTGTATCGATTTGTATGGTCCCCTTCCTTACACTGCCGCTGGAAATCGATAGATCATTGTCGCTGTCGACCATCTGACGAGGTATGCAGAAACAGCTCCGCTACCTACGGCTGGTGTACGTGGCGTAGCCAATTTCGTTTTGCGATGTTTCGTACTACGTCACGGGGCACCACGTGAACTACTAAGTGATCGAGAGCGTGTCTTTTTATCCGAAGTTGTACAACAACTCCTTCAGGCATGCCGCACGATGCACCGCACCTCTACTGCCTACCCCCCGCAGACCAACAGTCTAACTTAGCGCTTAAACCGAACGCTAGGAGACATGCTCGCCATGTATGTCAATTCCGACCAATCAAACTGAGATGTCATTCTCCCATTTATGACCTATGCGTACAACACCGCGATGCAGTCAACCACAGGCTTCTCGCCTTCCTTCTATATGGGCGTGAGCCACGCTCCACCCTTGACACCATTTTGCCGTATCGTCCCGACGTATCAGAGTTCAACCCTCTTTCTTAAATTGTGCACCACGCTGAAGAGTGTCATCAGTTGGCCCAATCATTCACTTCGGACAAGCAAGCACTCGAAAAAGACCGCCACGACCGCGACCAGCAAGTCGAGACTATTCCCGTGGGCTCGCTCATCTGGCTCCGACTGCCCTTCCACTCCCCAGGTCTGTCTTCTAAGTTTGCCCCCTAATTTCACGGTCCTTATCGTGTCGTCGAACGTCGATCTCCTGTCACATACGTGATCGAGCCGGTCACGCCATCTACAGACAGGTATTGCCTTCGTCGTGAGACTGTCCGCGTGAGTCGTCTCAAGCCCTATCACAACCCACTCCTAATATCGTCTCCTTGACTTGCCAGGATTGCTCGTCTTCGTCGCCGGGTATTGTAGAGAGGAAGAAAATTATGTGCCGCAGTGGGTCACGCCTTTAGCGAGAGGAGCCGAGCGCGAGTTGTTCCCCCGAGCGTTCTGATTCCTGCGTCGGTTGCTGCCGCCCGCTTTCCGCATCAATAGACCTGCTGTGCAAGTACTACTTACGACAATAAACCTCGTTTCAACGTAGGTACTTCAATATACACTAAAATCAGCAGAGGTCGAACATGCTTCTGGTATGGAACACGCAGCATGGTTTTCATGAATGAAACACACTGCAAGTAGGCATTTTCAAGTGTACGCAAGGAAAATGCTGAGATGGTCAAGGCATAGTGAACAGTACCCCAGTGTTTGAATTTTTGTAAGGCACACGTGGTTTTTTTTAAAACTTGGCGGTAGGTAACTGAAACACTCTTAATTATATACACAAGATTTACACCAGCACACGTTTTACTTGAGGGTTCTTCAATACTCGTTGCCTTCTGTTGTCCCAGATGCATTGTTAAGCGTAAGCGCACATACTTCTCCAAAAAACGTTTTGCTCACTTTTCCTCGGTGTTGAGCACATGCAACAAAAGTGGACTCTACGTTTTTTCAGTAAACTTGCAAGTAGACAGTGTGGTGCCTTGAAATCCATCACAGTATCAGCTGTGAAAAAACATTTGAATCACACTTCATATTGCAAACGAACCCTCATTACGACTTTGCTCAGCCGGAGAACGTTAAGGGCACCCTGAACTTACTCTTTTAGGTCAATGAGAGTGTTCTAGACATCATCAGTTCCCACCAGCATATTTCTACAAAGCTGAAAGTCGCCAGTTACCTTCAGAAAAGCTTTGTCAATAAATCCTGCAGAGTAAGCCAGGATATCACGTTGCACATCATTAACATCATCAAACAAGTCCTCCAGCTTTTCATCATCATCTTCCGGCTCTGATGGTTTTTACTTGAGGGTAGGACCAGGGAGGTCGGTGAGATAGAGGCTGTCGAACACTACATAGCTTGTCGACTTAGGTTGTGCAAAAACTGTCCAACGCAGATGATCTTCCGGGCACATTTGACATCGTATGCCATTGGAACAGGTTTTCTTAGTCGCAAAGTATAGATGATGTCCTCTTTGCAATCTTGCACTAAGCGCTCAGTCAGGACGTACGTGTGCCTGTGCTTAAACAAAAGCTCTTCAGAGAGGCTCAGCAGTGTTGATGTTGAAATCAGGAGGCCTGATTGACATGGCTTCCAGTGGAATGTAGTCCCCATTTTCATGTGGCGCACTGTGTCTTCAGCAAGGTGAAGCACTTGTACCGCTTGTCTGTATTTGTCCTCAGCATTTTTCCTGAGAGCAAGCACAGGGTGCCGGTATGACATTCAGCTGTACCGTTTCCTCAACAAGTCGAAAAACTACGCAGTTGCTTTTGCACTTTCAGGCAGGAATCCTTTCTTGATCTGGTACCGAATGGCAGGGGGGGGGGGGCATATCAAAAAACTTAGCTGCTATGCTCACCATCATGCTAGTGCGATTCCCAGTGTTTAAATGAATTTAGAAGAGGCCACTTGCGACCTTCAAGTCATTCTCACTGTCATGTTCAAGAAGTTTCTCAACGTCATCAATGTCAATCTTGTTTCCACGAAGGTTGTGCACACACACTGTCTCATTTCTCAAGTAAAATAAGTTGACCGCAACAGTTGGGCATGAAAGTCCTTGAGCACATGAGCTCGGTCAGCCATAAAGTAGAGTCTTCTTCCTTCCAGATGTGGGTGGGCAACACTGCAGACAGTCTCAGAGTTTCTGTGATTTGAGAACCTTAACAGTCGCCACACTGCTCTATTTGCTGCACCAAAATCACTGGGGACGATTGATATGTGGGGTTTAACGTCCCAAAACCACCATATAATTATGACAGACGCCGTAGTGGAGGGCTCCGGAAATTTAGACCACCTGGGGTTCTTTAACGTGCACCCAAATCTGAGCACACGGGCCTACAACATTTCCGCCTCCATCGGAAATGCAGCCGCCGCAGCCGGGATTCGAACCCGCGCCCTGCGGGTCAGCAGCCGAGTACCTTAGCCACTAGACCACCACGGCGGGGCAATCACTGGGGACGACTAAAACTACTATTGAGATGCTATAAAGCATCTCAACTATACAAAACGCCAGGTCTTTTAGCAGCCTTCTATCAACTGACCTGCCAGGAGTAAGGTAGGCAATCACCTGCTTGTACATTTGGTTAATAAATACCTCTCACCGTGAAAACTAAAGCATAATTGGCCACAACTTTTGATGATTCTGGGAGCGTTGTACCACCAAAAATAACATCACGAGAACGGTCATGCTCAAAGCCTTGGCAGATTTTTATCTCGTTCATGAAAAGAACAAAATCATTTTCAATTTCCTCTATTAACGCAACCTTCCGCTTGAGCACATCAAACACCTCAAGCAGGATTCCAGGCGGAAAATGAACATTGAGAGTTTTGTTGGAAGAAAGCAGGTATGACGGTGACCTCAGTAGGTCGTACCCAGCTGTTTCACAGGCACGCTTGATTTGGAGCGACGTTTTGATAGTTTTTTCAGACCAGGTGCATCATTCGTTTGTTTTCCTTCCAAGAGCTCTGTTTGGTTCATCATTAAAGAATACAACTTTCTCCTTATGTATCTTTTCCTTCCCAAGCTTTACCTGCCTTTTCAACCTTTGAATGGTTTCCTTTGCTGCCTCATGCAACAATTGAAGACGCTTATATTTGCACGCAAATTTATTGTACTTCTTTTGAAGCTCAGCAGCATGGCGACATGAAAATTGAGGTAACTTCCTCCTTTCACCTAAAGCTTTGAAGAAGGCTGGATTTGACGACGAATGGTCAGTGTGGGATGCAGCTTCCAGGGCCAACAGCTGGTCCACACCTGTCGATGCACACAGCCCGCAAGATGCAGCAACGTGCTCATTCTCTTGCTAAACTAATGAATTTTCTTGCTCACTGCTAACACTGTGCGTGTTTATGTAAGGCTCAAGTGCAGCGCCTAGTGAGAGAATGCTTTTTGAGCCTTGAGTATTGAAAACTAAAACATCCATCTGGCTGGTACTGTAACAAGTCCACATTAAATAAGAAAGTGAGGTGGGCAATACTTGGACATAGCTACAACCTGCGCTACATTGTTTTCATTGCCTTGTGTACACAACACATGTAGCGAACAAGCAAATTCAGGTGTCGCTTGGCTTGAAATTACAGTATCACTGTTTTCAAAACTGTGGCAAAAATGTGACTCCGACATTACAGAAATACGAAAAGTTTGGTAAGCTGGCTTCACTGCGTTCAACACAAATGATGAATTAGCATTTTCATCAAAATTTCGCGCTGGTAAATCCTTCTCATCACTATGAGCAATAGAACTTACAACAACAACACTGAGTGGGTGCGCAAATTTCATACTCTGGCTGAAAGGTATATGTGGTCTCGCACCTTGCAAAAAACTAATGCTCAAATGCCTGGCTGATGGATCCTCTTCATCATTATGAATGGTGCACTTGTCATGGGGTTTGCCACAGCTTCCATACTGCCTCGAGCCATCCTCCAGGGTACTACTTGTGCTGTTCTCGCATGATAAGGAGGACACTGTTGTGGGAAACAAGATGCTGCTCGTGCTGTCCCGGCATGATGAACTGCTCATCGCTGTGAAAGAAGACAGCAAGAGGCTGCTGGTGCTGTTAGCACTAAGTGAAAAAGTTGCCGCAGAGTAAGATGTGTTGGCTGCATGAGACTGCGACTTGCTGGCTTGTGATGTTTTGGGACAGCTGGAAGACACAGATCTGTTTATAATCAAGAACTGGTAAGACCTGAGAGAAATCAGCCAATGTTTATCTTAGTGCCATAATGTGACGGCGAGATGGCCGTCGCTAGGAACACTTCTCGTGCATTTACCTTCTTCTGAGTCTATGCATCAGCACGTTACATTTCAGTCCCACTGCTGCTCATAAGCCACTCGAGCACAAAAAACGCATTTTACTTGAATGAATTATTATCCTATATATTATATACTTATCACGAAAATCCCGTTATGCGTCATGGAAAGTATTTCGATGCCACTCAAAAGAAATATGTTGTAGACAAGTCTAGGATGACAACAGACAACATAGCCTTTTCAGTGAGGTTGCTGTAAACATTTCAAACAAGGTCAACTTATGATAAATCAAAATCAAAATGACATAGTGGACTTTTATAGATGTACATGAATGCGTTGTAAAATACAGAAGTCTGATGTCACAAATAAAATTGTTTTTTTTTGCTTCATTATTTTAGGGTGTTTCAGGGCTTTTTATACTATAATAATTGATATGATAATTGTTTCACAGAGTGTTTCAAGTATTTTGATGTCATCACGATACCGTAATAAAGTCGTCTGCTCACCGAAGCTTTCCTCTAAAGAGGCCCATGAGCATGAAGCAGAGCGTGTAAAACGTGATGTTTTTAGTCCTCTTTCCCTGCTTTGTTTTACGTATGTAGGAGGAAACTTCAACAATGAATCAACAAAATCCGTTTTGAGAAGCCTATTATGAGCAACAAACAGTATTTTTACAATGCTGGAACTGATTCAGGTGTTGAGATGAATATACAGCGCTCGCCACAGTAACCCAGGCTCTTTGTGCCCCAACTTTGGGAACCGCCACACGCGCCAGCGCTATCTTAAGAGATCAATCAGTATTAGTTTCATTAACCAATATCAGAAGTTGCGGTCCAAAAGAGAAGCCGTCGAAGCTATATTGAATGACAACCGCACCGATATCACTGTTTTTACTGAAACTTGGCTCTCAACTGATATACAGAATGACAAACTATTGCAAGATAAACAATCTTTCTTTTTTTTTCGGCGTCAGAAAGTCAATCATAGGAGAGGCAGCGTGATGGTTCTTGTAAACGGTACGCTGGTTTTTTCTCATATTGCAATTATCACCAAATACGAAATTCTTTGTGTGAACATTTCATTCGCTCATCCGGCTATCATCAAACGGCTATCAGCGTAAAAAGCACAGCCTCTGATTATATTCACAAAATAACATCAAATTTTCTCTGCACTACAATCAACCTAATATAAGCAACCTCGAGTGTATCACGTGTAAAAACAATATATAGAGGAAACTCAACCACTGATTCAAGTAAGACTGAAGGTCGCCACGCAGACACAAAGCATAATTTACCAGAAGCCGTAGCCACCTACTTCAACCAACAAGATCACAACTTCGACCTAGCAAAACTTTATATTCTACAAACAAGTTTCCATTCCCCACGTGAATCAAAAAGAGCGCCACTCTGCCTTTTCGCTGGACGTCGAGGAGCTTTTTTATTCCATACCTCACCAAGGCTTCTCCAGAGCCATACGTGAGTGCATTGAACGTTCTGGGGAGTTCAGCTTCCAAAACCAGACCGGGTTAAACAGTGAGAACTTATTAGAACTTTTAAAGTTTTACCGGCAGTCTACTGCCGTTTCTTTCACGGGCAACAAAATGTACAGAAAATCAGCATATGCATATAGTTCTCAGTCACTTCGTTACTTTGTGACATATTTTAGCCTCTGTTGACAAGCGTGTAAATGTCCGGGTTGCTGACTCGGAAGCCATTAGTATTTTAGATATGTAGACGACTACTTAGTATTTTATTTCACTTGAGTTCCACAGGCTTTGAGAGTATTGTAGCCATAATTACTCGTGTTTTCACTTTTGAATCAGGCGGTCTGACCTTTAGATGTGAGACACCTAGTGAGAACAGCTTACGACTTTTAGATCTCAAGCTAACCGTCAACAATGATCAGGTTTGCTACAAGTATAACCCACGGACAAAAAAGACCCTTTTGACTTATGACAGCACCCACACGAAGCTTGTTAGAAGGGGGATTGCGACGGGATGTGTGCAATCCGCACTAGCAAGAAGCTGCCTACACACCACTTTAGATAACCTGAATAATCAGTTACAACGTTTGGGCGCTGCAGGTTTCACCTCTTCGCTTGTCAATGCTGTATATGAATCAGTTTTACAGGACATAAAAAGAAACGAACCTCAACAGCAAAAAAAAAAAATAGATGAAGACCGCAGGTGATACCATACATCCACAGATTCTCCCACAATCTTAAGAAGATTTCCCGAAGGTATGACGTCAAAGTGGTTTTTTCTGCGCCCCATAAGTTAGCTCAGAATTTTCCTATGCTGACCAAACAAAAGAAAAAATTCAGCACGAAGAATCATGCTCATCGTTACACCGATTGCGTGACTCGCGTGGTATACAAAACACCACTCAGCGGTGGAGAAAAGTACAACGGGCAGACGGGTCGATGTTTTATTATCAGAGCACGGGAGCATTTTTTACACTTAAGAACCATTCTGGCAGAAATCTGGCTGATCACTGCAACAAGTGCAAACGCACCCCTCATTTCGATCACGCGACTTTTGTGAAGCGGGCCAAAACAAAGACAGAAAGAAAGATAATAGAGGCAGCTCCCATCAAGACATCTGGCAACAAATCTGTAAGCCCGCCAAGTGTGTATCTAAGTGACAAAGAGATGCAGCTTCTGTGTGCTCAGCAATGATGCGTTTGAGTTGTTGATATCATATGTGCATATGCATTTCAGTTGATATCATGTGCGCATGTATAAAAGCAGGCTTCATGCTTAAACCAAACCACGAGATGTAAATAACTAGGTGAATAAAAACAGCAAGGAGAGAATTTGGCAAGCATTCTCCATTCATTAACGGTAGATTACCACAATGCTTTAAGCGGAAGATATATAACACAGGTTTATAAGTGCACTTAAAAGAAAAAAAATTGCAGACTTCACGTACAGTGGGAATCGATGATATGCGAAGCACGAATGAAGAATGTTGATATGTCACTTTAAAATCAGCACAACGTTACGAGGTGGAGGTAAATGATGCCGTATATGACTTCAATGTCATGATTATTATGTTTGGATGTCTCGTTCACTTTCGTCGTCTATTCACATCCCATGATACCAAATTTAGTATATTTGAAGTTAGCGAAACGGCCGCGAGCACGCTATAAGCGTGGTGTGTTGTCATGTTGTTACATGACACGCGTATCAAGAATATCATGTTTGCACCAGTCACATAGTTCATCATCCAACGACATGACGTAACACCAAATTTGGTACATGTGGAGCTAGCTAAATGGCCGCGAGCGCATCATGAAGGGCCCAATATACTCCATCGTAGCGTTGACGCGCGCAAGCTGGGCACTGCGACGCTACGTTAGCAAAACGCGAGCACTCTATAGTCTGCCGCCAAATGCGACAAATGTCCGTCGGTGCGGCCCGACGGCAACTGGTGCGAAATGCGACATGCTGCATTGCGCGCCGATGCGTTACCCAAACAACACTTCGTCTCCCTCTTTTCGAAACGGAAGGACGCCGGATGCGCTGAAACGTGCATGCATCAAAGCAACGCAGCGCAGCGTGCCTCGGCGAGTATATGTCAGGACCGGCACCTGGCGTGGCAAGGGTGGCGTGACACGACGAAATCAACCCCGGCGAGCACGCACACTGCGCCACGTTGAAATGTATTGGCACCTTGACTGTGTGTTCTCACATGACACGCATCCCATAATTATCATGTTTGCACCACTCAAATACCTTCGTCATCCATTATCGTCACGTAAAACCAAAGTCAGCATATATGAAGCCAGCAAAATGGCCGTGAGCACAATATGAGCGTGGCATGTAGTCATGTTGCATGACTCGCATGTCGTGATTGTCATGTTTGGATGTGTCATTTACCTATGTCGTTCGTTCGCGTCACGTAATTACGAGTTTGGTACATGTGAAGCGAGCAAAACGGCCGCGAGCGCATCATGAGCGTACCATGTAGTCGTGCAGACGTGACAAGCATCTCATGTTCACCATGTTTGCACCACTGCCATACCTTCGTCATCCATTCGCGTCCCGTTATACCGAATTGGGTAGAAGTGAAGCAAGCAAAATGGCCGCCAGCGCATCATGAGTGTGGCATGTAGTCATGTGGTTTCATGACACGCATCTCATGATTGTCATGTTTGTACCAGTCGATACCTTCGTCATTCATTCACTTGTCGTAATACCGTATTTGGTGTATGTGGCGCTAGTGAGACGGCCGCGAGCACATCATGAGCGTGCCGTGTAGTCTTGTTACACGACGCGCATGTCATGATTTTCATGTTAGGGTAAGTGGCTTTTGTTCGCCAACCATTTATGTCATACCGATTCAGTTTTGCAACATGTGAACGAAAGAGCCGAAAGAGCAGCAGGACCTTGAAATGTAAATCATGACATTCATGACATACCTGTCAGGATTTTCATGTTATGACTAGTCAGATATGTTCTTCATACAGTCGTTTATTACCATACCATGTTTCGTATTGATAATATTATCGAAACGGCAAGGATAGCTAAAAGTCCTAGGCGGCTAGATAGATAGATAGATAGATAGATAGATAGATAGATAGATAGATAGATAGATAGATAGATAGATAGATAGATAGATAGATAGATAGATACGCTCAAAGTCGCCGAAGTTCGCTAAGCAATGCATCGCATTATAAAAATGGAGGGGAAAGCCAAAACCCTGAGGATTGCAAAGTGAGTTCAACCTAAGGTGAGGACAATAGTGGCAAAATTGGAAAGGTTAATGATAGGTGTAACTTTAAGGGACAAGAACAGAGCAGAGTTGATCGGGGAATTCACGGGGGTAAGGACATCAT